GGGTGGGGGTTGCAGTAAATATATGCAACAAAAAAAGTTACCAATAAGGTAAAAACTTACCTGTGTCTCCACCGCTCGCTCCCGTCTGAAGATCTGAAAATTCTCGGCCGGCCGCAAAGGATCATGGGGCGGGCACAAGCACAGTAGAATTTTTCGGCCCGGGATAAGAGGAGAGACGCAGTGTAAGTCAATGACCGCAGCATGCACCCGCACAGACTCTGTGGAACAGGAAGACACAGCAGTCAGAGCTGGATCAGAGACCGGCACCAGCGCTGGAGGGACTCCTGAAAACTACTGGAAAGAGGAAGATGATTGGATCAAATGGCATAATTTAAGCTAAGTCCTTACACCAGCAGGGGGGGGGGGGGGAGGAAAAAAAGATTGACTCTAATGTCACTTTAAGTTGGACCTTTACCCTCTTTCAGTAAAAATCACCTCAGCATTCAGCTCTGCGTACTGATATGAAATCCTCTTATATTCATTCGTTACATAAACATAATTCTCTTACTTACAATTACCATTTTTCCACTTCCTGGTCCTCTTGGGCACCAGTGGTGCAGGCCATGCCTAAGGGCCGGTGCACACCTAGGCGACACCCCACAGTGCGGCAATCGTGCATGATTCGGCGCTGTCAGGAGTCGCCCAGGTGTGCACCGATCGCGCTGTGGGTGCCATTATTTTCCAATGGCACCCCAGTCCCGTCCGGCGTATTGCGCAATTTCCCACCAAAACAGCTGCGCATTCTGTATCGCAGAAAAAAGGTACAAGTGTTTTCCAAAGGCACCTACAGCACGATCGGTGCACACCGGGGCGCCTCCCGACCGTGCGGCAATACGTGTGGAATTGTGCACGATTGCCGTGCGGTGGGGTGTCGCCTGGGTGTGCACCGGCCCTAAGAGATATGTCCTGGGATGGTTACATCAGCAGTGGATTGCTGATCTGATATCATCCTACATTCAATAGTTACAAAATCATAATTTTCTTTTAATTACAATTGGAGTCCATTACAATTGGAGTCCAGATGCGCTGGAGCTGCGCTGGTCCAATGCAAGAAAAGGTAATTTGCCTTGTCACGGATGGCGCCCATTTACACCATGTGGTGGTTGGAACGTGGTTGTGTGCACTGTAAAAAGTAAGACATGCCTTAATTTTTTTTCAACGCAGTGGGATGCAGCGTACTACAAACAACTTGCACCCCGCTGTACTCGTAGAACTGAATGAAAGGTTACTTGTTCAAAAAAAAAAAAGAACATGCTTACACACTGTGCCATCATACTGCACACCAGACACTGTTGCAGTTAGCGCAGAGTATGGGGTTTACGAGTACTTGCCCAAATACTCGGCATCGGTACCGATACTAGTATTGGTATCGGTGCATCCCTAGTAGCAGAGATGGCGGAAGCTGCAATGTACATACTTCCATTGCACACCCAGTGACCCTTTACAGTGCTGTGCCTTCTTCAAGGACATTACAGATTGTTCAAATTGGCATGAACTTTAAGTGTAATAATGTTGCACCATTTGCAGGCTAACATTGGTAGCTCACCGAATGCTCTCGTGTGTAATTGTGAAGAATTTTTTGATTTGATGTTCCTCTAACTAATCAACAAGACTATCTTTCTGCTCGAGAACACCTGTCAAAACTGCACGCTGTGGTCTTTCCTAATAAGAAATAATCCCTTTTATTGGGTATTATTTTCCTTCTAAACAGTCAAACCTTCTAAATGAATGTTTAATACACGCGTGCATCCTTCATGCCTGTTTTTCCTCTCCTGTACCTCGTAAATTGTATTTCAGCATTAGTAAACGCAGTCCGTAAAATTGATTTAGGCTAACCGAATAGGTTAGCGGATTATCTATAATTTGACTCTGAAGCCGGGCCTTTATTTTATTGGTCTTAGAAGCGATAACATTGCCAGTGAAATACCAGGCGAGTGATAAATCTACGAGCCGCTGATTTTTCAGAAATTGTCCTTCTAAAAATAGGATCTTCTCTTCTGTCGCTCGGATTTGGCAGAAAAAAGATGACGGGGGAAACGGGCCAAGTGCGAAACGTTTGCTCTATCGCTTAGATATAATCTGCTTAATGTACAGTTTGAGATTTGTAGGCCCTATTGCAGACATTTTTCCATCAGACTCATTAGTGTCTTCTGAAGATAAGAAGGCATATTTAGACAAAAGGGAGTCGGCTAGGTTTCTACGAATTAATTACCTGTGCTATTGTCTTTTTATTATTTCGTCCTTTGGAAAAAGGAACAAAAAAGTTAAGCCGGACTGTAAAGACACCAGATCTTTCTCAAAGTAACTTCATAGCCGTTCCTTTGAAAAATGGTCTAATGATTTCAGATGTACTCCAGAAGGTGTCTGCGGTGTCCTATGAGACGGAAATGATTAGTAGATTTTTGGACTGTTCTGTGTGATAAAAGGAAACGACTTCTCTTACTTTTCAACTTTTTGCGGCTGAGGGATACAGTGTAGCCAGTTGTTTCACCATTGGTTGTGAAAGTTGGCCTTGCACACTGAATTCCATGGACCACTTGGTGCCCTTTTTTAAAACATTGGCGACCGCTATGATTTAAAATTCAGAGAAACAAGGACATGTTCCGCTAAGTGTATTAAAACCCAAGAACAAACATTTAAACTGACCCTAAACTCTGCAGTAAAATCTTAAAAATGTATTCAAATACCTTTTTAACTATGAACAACGATGTATCTTATTTGTGTATCGCTCGGCTGTAGATCCTCCAATCATCTCTGAATTGGTGCTGACACTGTCCTTCCTTCTGGAGGGGGGCTACTTTTGTTCCCCATGGCCCCTGTGTGTTGAAAAGTAGCCACCGCTTCAAGATCATTCCCACGTACATGAAGACGCGCGTTTTGATTGGCAGCTCATGAACCATTGTGGGTAATGGAAGAACGTGCGTATAAACGCACAGAAACGCTCACGAAATTTGTGCAACATCCTTCTGTTGCGTGTTTTTTGGGCATTTCCAATGAAGTCTATGGGGAGAAAAAGCGCTTTTACTGCCCAAAGAAGCTCCTGTATCTGTTCAGGCGTCTGGCGTCTTTCTGCTCAGGTGTGAACCAGGGCCATTGAAAATCATGGGATTTCATGGGTGTTGGGCAGTTAAAAGCGCCTTTCGAACTGCTCAAAAATGCCTAGGTGTGAACCAGGGCTCTGAGATGATTGGAGGATCTACAACCGAGTGATACACAAATAATAGACATTGTTGTTAATAGTTAAGGTAACTGAATGTATTTTTAAGATATAACTCTTAAGTTTAGTGTCACTTTTAATGTATTGCAGCTTACCAGTCCTTGGATAATGGTGGCTGCTTATTTTCTTCCAGGCCTTTCTACCTTATTTTCACCTAGTGAGCCTGCCACCCTGCCCTAGGGTGATGATGCTCACTCACTGTACTGTATCTATGGAGGTGCAGTGCTGTCACCCTAGAACACTGCTACAGAATACCTCCCCCTCTGCTCATCTCCATAACACAGGGAGACAATGTAACATGTTTTATAGGGAAGAAGATTTTACCATTGGAATGAAAATGGTTATGTTGTGTGACACTTTTATTACATGAAACAGTCATGGCAAAATCAATGATAGAGTTTACACATAGAATTGTTTTCTTACCACTACTGATATCTATAGTTCTTATTACTGAAGAATAATGTGGAAATGTTTGTACTTGGGGAGTTAAGATTGATGACATTTTTATTGTCCGTCCTTTTTGTCAGATTTTCCTTCCTTGGGGCCAAACCAGTGACGTTTTGAGAGGTTGAATCATGGACATGGGTATTTTTTTTTCTTTCACTCCAATTACTTAATTATGAGGATCTCAGGCCAACTCCACCAAAAAAACAGACTGCAGTTGGCATAGTATATAGCCAGTTACATTGCACGTTAGTGTTTCTCTCTTGTGAGGCTCCAGTGGTGAGTAAGCAAAGCCAGAATGGGCTCCTCCTCAGCCAATGCAGAGCCAAGTTATAGTGTCATGGCTTGTGCGTCCATGGCTTCTCCATAATGTCAGATGTACAGTATGATTGGTGGTCTGGTACAAGACAGACTTTTCCCGGATTGCACCGTTGACCTGTGTGTGTTTTTCTTCCCTGTTAGGTGGTGGAGAGGAAACGAACCGCAGCGGAGATAAGAGAGGAGTTTGAAAGGTTACAAAGGGAAAGGGAAGAGAGGCGACTTCAGCAGCGGACCAACCCCAAGGTAAATGAATGAACCTATGAAATAAAGGCCATCTATCATGTATTTTATTTTTTTAATTTGCTGAAAGATTATATAATTGTAAATAATCTTTATTAATGTGTATCAAAGGGTATATATACTTTCAACACAGACTCTTATCTCAAGTAGGTATGTGTGTATGTGGCGTACAGACACCTGCAAAGCAGGCGCACCCCCTGATGCCTCATCTTGTGCACGTGCCTCAGTGCTCTGTGCTTGCCTCATGAAATAACCTTAATTTCCAGGATATGTGGGCAATGTGTCTACTTTTCCCTCATCCCACTATGCCCAGTACTTACTGTATGGGTGGCCCTTCACCAAGGCCAGGCACTGTCACTTGGGCAATTGGCAGTGTGACTTCCTGTGGAAATGCCGACTTTTCATAAAGTCAGTATTTGCATATGATATTTGGGGGCTGTAATGGCGCATTGGGTTGGCAGATAGATGCGCAGTAAAGGTAGGACATGGAGTAGAGAGCCTGCTATGCCTTTGTTAGATGACTATATTACAGGGGTATTTTAAAGAGACACTGCCACGTGCCCATTTAGAACACATTGACAGAGTCTCCTGATAGGCCTCCCTCTTGCAAGCTATACTCGCTGATCTGCGCTGCGTCCCTGTTCTTTCAGGGCTTTCACTCTGTTGCTCTAGTAGAGTGGCGCTTCATGGTATGGGTGAGCATGTAACCTCTTCTATGTCACAGTAGTTGGGGTTTAGGGACTAATTTGGGGTGTAGACACTGATATCCACCCGGGTAGCTTTGACACTGTAGCTTATTCTGGAGTGACTCCTGTAGAAGGAAGCGAATGTTGATTGAGGAGGCACTGTCACTTTGCACTGACTCTGTCTCTGTAATGGCCCCTTTCAAACTGCTCCATACTGGTTTTAAATGAAATTTTTACTATGTAACGTACAGAAATAATTATTAGGGGTAAACTCTTAGGGCTCATTCACACCACATCCAGATCAGATCAGACCAGATTGTTTCCGGACCCAAAATGCATCCTAATGTATCCCTATGCTATTTCTGGCCTCTGTTCACACCAGCGCAGTCCATTCCAGACCAGAAAAATACTGCATGTCTTATTTTGTCTAGTCTGGAATGCAGTGGAACTGCGGGCAGGTTCACACCATTTTCCGAACCAGATCCTCAGGGCTTGTTCACACCATGTCTGGATCATGTCCAGACCAAAATAGTTTGTTCCTGGACCAAAAAACAATCCCTGTGGTATTTCTGGGCTCTGCACACACCAGTGCAGTCTGTCCCGGATCAGAAAAAAAAAATACTGCTTGTCTAATTTTGTCCGGTCTTGAATGCACTTGAACGCATCAAAAGCACATGCAAATGCACTGGGACCCCCATTTTAAGCTAAAGGGGAAAAAAAAACATCGGCAACATCGCTGTATAAATGCGGCAAAACGCAATGCACTGCATTCCAGGTCTGATCCGGAAAATGGTGTGAACCGGGCCCTACACCTATATCTTTAGGTATAATTAGGGATTCCTGCGTCAGGGGCTTGTGTTTTCCTGCAGCAGGGATCCCCAATCTGCTGTTTACAAGTGATCAGGTGACAGCCGCTGCAATTGAACGCACCCACAGATATAGGTGTGAATGCGCCCCTAAGGTTTAGAGGAGAACTATGGGGTTAGGGCTTTTCCCCATAGTTCTCCTTAGGGTAACGGGAGGACACAAACCTAGCATCCTCCCGTCCCCCTAAGCTCAGTATACCGCGAGCCACAGCTCGCGGTATACTGAGACGCCGCAGCTGAAGCGGATCCTGACAATTATGTCTGGATCCGCCCAGCTGCATGAGTGACAGCTGGCTCTGCCTATCTAGAGGCAGAGCCAGCTGTACCCGCCCCCTCCCCCGTCCATTCCGCCAGTCAGCGCTGGAGGATCGGAGCGGGGAGGGGGAAATCCAGCCCCTCCCCTGTCACGGCAGAGAGCCGTGACAGGATCGAGAGGTGAGCGAACGCCGGTATGTGTTTGCTCACCTCCCGATCTACTGAGCCGACCTGTGACAGTCTCATTGTCACAGGTCGGCTAGAACTATGAGGTGAGTGAAAAGCACTCACCTCATAGTTCTCCTTTTTAAGCTACTGTATCATATGGAGGTGACAATTGGAGCGAAGGTCTGGCTGTACAGAAAAAAGAGATACTACAGGTCAGCCATTCTTTTGAAGGCTTTGTTTGGTTGCACAGAGCTCCTCCTGAATTGGGAGAGTGTAAAAAAAAAAAGAGAGAAATAAAACGAAGCCGTAACAATGATCATGAAAAGGTGCAGCAAACACATTGAAATTCCCTCCGTAAGACGCACGGGGAAGACTCCACTTTTCCTGGAGTTGCAGGGCTTCCATAAATAACCCCACATATGTTTTCACAAGCCACATTTTTACTATTACTGTCGCTTTAATTTATGACAGCGCGTACCGCCTTTTACGGCTCCGCTCATGGCTTCCCCTGCTAAATATTTTTTATTGTCCGTCGTATCTGTCACCACACTGTTTTCATATGGAAAATATACTGCAATAACCAGGCTCGAACCCGGCCGTTATGCCGCGCCACCGTCTTCCTCGGCGCAGCCATCTGTTCGCCCTGGTTCAAAGACTCTCCCAGCGCAGGTATGCGGGCTACCTTGCTTTATGGCGGCGTCACAAATCACAGCGCAGGACGGGTATAATTCAGCGAGCATCTGATCTGCGATACCTTCGGCTAATTATGCCCCCGCGTGGAGCCCGGTGCCGCCGGCTCGTCAGAGGTCCTAATTAAGATCCTCTTCTCTCTCTCTCTCAGACTATGAGTTGTTTTTGTAAGTAGTCATTAATTAGAATTTTGTGTCTGTTCTGTTGTCAGAGTACAGGGCGCGGAAACACTTGCGAGAGATGATTTCACTAACGAGCGTCTTCGCTGGAGCCGAGCCCTTTTATGTTCTCTGAAAGACTAAAGTGTCATTATTTTTATTTTATTTTTTTTTATATCTTTTTGTTTTTTTAAAAGGTCTGACAGACCGACGCTATTTCAGTTCTCTGCATTCTTCTGCCTTTCAGAGTCTCTGGTGCAGGGCCCAACTGCATTGTCTGTCTTGTTATATAAAAGAAAAAGGCAGCGGGGTGACTGAAACCCGCTCGGTGGTGGTTTTGTTTTTACTAACTAGAGATCAGTTTTTGACGGTTGAGCCTATTAAAGTGACTGTAATGAGAAAGGTACAAGAGGGCTGCTTTTGCTGGCCTACTTTTAAATAAGGCTACTTGTCTAGCTGTGCCTGACCTAAAAAGTCATAACTTTTTTTTAAGTTGAGGTAGAGTAGTGGATTAGAACCCCTGTCTTCTATTGCTGCCAATGTCCCCACAAGGTAGAATTATCCTCTCAATTTGTCCCAGCTGCAAGTGTTGGCTGCAGCTCTGGGTAATATATAGCAGCACAATAGCAAAAAGTTTCCCAGCACACTCACCAGCCAGTATGCAAAAAAGCTTATCTCACCGCTAAGGTTAAAAGCAGAGGTTTTAGACACACGTCTTCTGCAGAAAATGTGAAAGCCGCCCCGCCTCGCCAAGGCACCTCCATATAGTGCGGTCCTATCTTTAAACTATAAGAGTCTCCATCTTGGAGCACATGGGGCAATAACGCACTCATCAATTCGTAACCAGCTTTACAGCAAGGTGCACATGGAAGGGCTTTATACAGAACAGCAAAAAGTTTTCCAGCACACTCGCCAACCAGCATGCAAAAAAACTTGTCTCACCGCTGAGGTTAAAAACAGAAGTTTAGGTGCACGATAATCTGCCTACACTTAAAGCTTTGCTTGCTTCTGAATGGCTGTTGACAGGTCCTCATTAGCAGTCCAGTCTTCAGTCAGATCACTTAATTGAGGCGGTGTGAGGGTTCACTGCTGGATGGAATTGCATTGTCTGTAATGGTAGGTTGCGGACACGGTCTCTTCCGCAGCCAACGCTTTAGAAAAAACTTTTCATTCTTGATTGACGTTTCCAGCGTTTTCCCTGAAGTTCTTTTTACAATAGGCGGATAGTTTACACGTAAGATGCGTTTATATAAATAATTGGTTGGTATCGTCCCTTTAAACGCCCCTCCACTGTACTGCCAGCCATGAGCATTTTTTAAGTCGATCACGGTTTTTAATTTCATTAACAATAAAAGCCTCCCCCCCAGCCATAAAGTGTAAATTGAAATCTATAGTCATCCGTGTCATGCCAGCGATACATTCCGCTTTATTACGAGGAACGAGGGAGAAGTCTAAAGAACCGGAGGAGATGGTGGAACGAAAAAGGCGCAAAAAAAAAAAAAGCAGGCGGTCGGCTTTAACCCCTCGTTTTAACCTCCATAAGCGCGGTTATGCTATTGTTACATAATACTCATCCTTATAATCCTTGTGGTTTAGCATGTCCAGGGGACTGAATCCCAGTGCAGTTATATTGTTTTTTT